GGGTGCGCAAAATCTGTTGTACGGGATTGGTAACATATGGAAGGCTGCCTCACAAGACGCGAGTATTGGCGCAAAAGTATCTAAAAGTGACCAGAATATGGATGGAAATAAGACAAAGAACAATCAAGAGGTAACGGAGGAGGTAGGAAGAAAAAAGATAATAAGACGAATCAAGATAAAACGCTAGTCAGTAGACCTTTGCAAATTCGCTTGAGTAACCCAAAACAATGGCTTCAAGTCAAGGCTGGACTTGATGAAATACAGTGAATGTATGAACACATCTATCAAATACGACATTGTTTCGTGGTCACTCAAGCAAATTTGCCAAAAGTCTATGACACCCGGAGGCTCCTACTCACCCGGTTCCTACTCACCCGGAGACTCCTAATCACCCGGGCCCTACACATCTTTCTTACCTTGCATCGCCTCACTTGCTCTTATCTTTCCATATTCATATTAGTGCTCCACTCTCTATTTGCACCCGACCTAACATTACTCTTACACCAAAATTCCATATTTATTTATTCAGAGTAAGACCTTGGCCAAAAGGTCAGCTTCCCTGGTCAAGCAAGTGTCCAGCTCTCTATTATCCCGTATGACCGCGGGAGAGAACCCAGCTGTGGTCAAAACAGTCTACATGTCAGTCGTGTTGAGCAGGAACAGGCCGGTGGATGTGGGTGGGTCACAGATATCTGAAGGAAACACCACCTTTAGTTTGCCGTCTGCTGACTTGTTGTTTGGGTCCAAGCTTGACAGTCTGTCGACAGTTGATACTCAGGTGGGTGTTATAAGGTGGCATACGTCTTCTACCGTTGCCTTATTAGCGGATTATAATAATCCTATATAACTTCATTTTTTCTTTCTTCCCAGCTCGTATCCACTCCTCACAACCCATACTCCTGGGACACCACAAGCTCCTTCGTTACGTCATCTGTGATCAGCTTGACGTGTACTGACGTCACTGGTTCAGATCTTGATATTAACAATCTGACGTCACCAATCGCAATGACCATCCCGCGGGAACAAATAAACTCTTCGAGAGATCCCGAGGCTGAGAATACTTTTCTTAAGCCAAGTGACGGAAGTCAAATGCAGTACCGTAAGATAGTGATAAATGTCGCAGGTTCATCGCTACAGATGAGAATAAAACCGCAAGGCGACTCGATATCTGTGTCTGTTTTCATCAAATTTGGACGAAGACCAACCGTGGAGACTTTTGATTATCAAACAAGCTCACCAGATTTCTCAAGTTGTCTAAAGTCCTCACCAGATGACTGCACACGTGATCCTTACGTCGTCGTCATTCCTGGCTCGGTGCTTAGCAACAAGGGGGCGTATATTGTAGGACTGCTATATGAAAAAAGGAAAGGATCAGAAAACGAAGTTAGGCGTGTTAGACGTTCATCCTGCGGGGGTGGGGGTCAGGGTGGAAGGGTAAAGAGGTCATGTGTTGAGATCAAAGACCCTCCGACCACGCCCACCCCGGAGAATGTAACCATAGTACCCACATATGATCCGACGACTGACATCAATGTAACAATCAGTGTTGACGTCACAAGCTGTTTATACTGGTCTCCTACACTTGAGAAATGGACTTCTGAGGGATGTCAGGTATGATAACAAAAATAATAAATAGCTTTAAAGAGGAAGTGTCGAGGTCGCGCGTTGGTATGGGGATATTTCAAGACCACTTGTTATTCCCAAGAGCATCATTTCTTCGCTTAACGGTTGCGCACGAGAAGACACATGAATATAGATACAACTCAAACAAAGAATCTTATTCTCAAGACCACGTGTCATTTCCTAGAACATCATTTCTTCGCTTAACGGTTGCGCACGAGAAGACACATGAATATGAATACAACTCAAACAAAGAATCTTATTCTCAAGAAAATGACGTATGTTCTGAAATGGGAAAAAATTGCGCCCAAGCTGAAGAGGTCTATTAAATATAGAACAATCGATCTCAGTAATGACGACACACGCTAGCTAATCTCAGTTTCTTCATTAATATTCCAGGCTGGCAACCAGTCCTCCCCAACCAGTCTGCARTGCCTATGCAACCGTCTGACGTCATTTGGAGGCGATTTCCTTGTCGCTCCAAACCCCATTGATTTTGATGTAGTAATCCTCGGATTCAGCCAGTTGTCTGATACCAAGAACTTTGGCGTGATTAGTTTTGTAGCTGCTCTGTTCATTTTGTATCTGATAGTGCTGATCGTGTGCAGGAGAGCAGACAAGAAGGATAGAGACAAGGTAAGCACCTTTGTTTACTGATTAGTTTAGCCGTTGAGATTATTTCAGTTAGCTGGTACTAATTTAAGGTTTTATCTAATTTATGTAAATCAACCTATTAATCTATGTACCTAGTAAAACTTTTGTCATTGTCACCCTTGCTTTATTAGATTCTCTATTGCATAATTAAGGGTTCCAACAAACGAAGCAGATTGGATGTTACTTGTAATGGAATTCAAGAATGGGAAAATTAGTGCCGAGTGTGTACTCCTAGTTCGGTGCACGTGAGGTCTTTAAAAACCCAGGTTTGGCGCCTTAAGTTCCCCCTTAGTGGGAAGTAGTATAGGAGCAGATTAAGGAATTTTAGTTTGGAAAGTCTTCACCCTAGAAAAGAAGGAAAGCTCTGTTGCGCAAGTTGCGATAGCTGAAATTTCACACTCCACTTTCCCATACATTCTGGCTATTACCCGCGTTTTCGAGGAAATTCTTGCGCAGGAAAGAGCGTTTACGGGCATGGGATCCCGCTTCACTTTATAAGGTGCCACGTTTACAATAAGAAATGATTTGAAAATGTGAATGTTAAACTTTTATTTATTTATTTTTAGGTTGGTCCCCAAATTGATTTGAATCAAGAACCATTCCACCAGACTTCATCCTACGAAGTAACCATAGAAACAGGCCTATGGTATCAAAGTGGTACAACAGCTAACATTGGTTTGACAATCCACGGCAYGGAAAACACCAGTGACGTCATAGCCATCAAACACGAGAACTACCCCGACAGAAGGATTCTGGGACGAGGAAACGTCGACGCGTTTGTCATTCACTCGCCCTGTTCTTTCGGGCAGTTACTCTACGTACGTGTCTGGCATGACTCTACCGGAAGTAATCCTTCCTGGTTCTTAAGCGAGATTAACATTCGAGACACAACTGCGCATGAGCAGTGGAATTTTCCCTGTCACCGCTGGCTCGACATTGTCAAAGATGACGGCGCAATTGAGCTCACCCTGGCATGTGAGAGCAAAACTGTGACATTCAGTGATTCACTAAAAGACCAAACGACTAAAGATTTTGTCGAGGACCATCTGTGGATCTCAGTCGTGGCAAAGAGCCCGCGGACATTCTTTACCAGAGTCCAGCGGGCCACATGCTGTCTGTCATTACTCTTTTCTGCCATGATCACCAACGCCATGTTTTATAATCTTGGCGGCAAATCAGAAAGAACTTTCCACTTCGGTCCTTTGCAGGTCAGTCTCCGTCAGATTATTATTGGCATCGAGAGTARCCTTATCGTTGCGCCAATAAATCTTTGTATCGTACAACTTTTCAAAGTTGCAAGCAAATTACGATTGAAAGAAGAAGAGAGAGACACGATGGAGTTTGACAGTTTTCCTTCCACAAGCTCCAGCCAAGAAACTTTATTAAGGAAGAAAAGGAAACGTTCGTTCCGTTGTTCTCCCCTTGTGACTGTCCTAGCATATTTCTTGGCATTCTCTTGCGTCGTGGTTTCCGCCGTGTTTACTATTTTCTACTCCATGCAGTGGGGTACAGATATCAGTAATCAGTGGCTCACTTCAATGATTGTATCATTCGTCCAAGATATATTCATTATACAACCAAGCAAAATCGTACTTATTGCTTTTATATTATCAATGCTTCGAAGAAAATACAAAAAGAAACAGGAAAAAGAGAGTTCAAATTCAAGCAGTGATTCTTCTAGTATTACAGCTACCGCGCGTTGCTACCGTGTCGGAGAAGACGCAGAGGAATTTCTGCCTTTAACACAAGAAAAACGAAGTACACAGAAAGATCTAAGAACAAAAGAGAAAGGATTCACCAACGTGGCCAAGGATATTCTTCTCTACTTAGTATTTCTTGTTCTTTTGTGCGTAGTGTGTTACGGATCAAGAGCGAGGCATGGTTACTTACTGACTACAGCGTTAAAAAACGACTTTCCTGGATTTGATAAGGTAAAGCTACAATAGACATCTTTGGCAGTCTTTCCTTGCGCGAAACCTCGTCAATCGAGGAGACGTTTTTTAATTTCCTTGCTCCAGCTTTCTACGTGTATTGCACGTACATATATGTGCTGTAGAAGGGTACATATACTGGCGAAGATTCGCGGAAAGGGAAACTAGTATCAAAGAAATCAAACCATATAAAAACATGTAAATGTGAAGACAATTGAGTAACTTCTCATTCCTCTCTATGAACAAAACAAAGGCGCACTTGAATACCATCCATGAGTTGCACGAGCGACGCGGTATATTAGCTACTCTGAGGTTGAGGAAACAACTAGGTCGAGTTTGCATCGCTCTGGTTATGTTCCTGCTCGATTTATAAACGAGCGAAATGTTGTTGTTGTTGTTGTTGTTTTTTTTTGTTTTTTTTTTTTTTTTGAGGTTCCCTCCTCACCACGAGGTTTTCAGTCCGAGTTATGTTCCTGCTTGAAATACATGTATGAGCGCAATGTTTTTTATGGAGTTCTCTCCTTACCACGAGGGTTTCAGTTTCTCCGGGTTATTTGATTTCCCTAACTCGTTAAAACTCAAAATGTCAGTTGAGAAATGCGTGTTGCATATAATGAACGTAATATAACATGTATAGTGTGACGAAGACTAGACTGTATGCACATTATAAGATTATACAATGTTCCTTTATCTCAGGTCAGAGACAACTACTCTTTTTTTGAATGGCTAAGCAACACGCTCGTTCCAAACCTGTACGCGCAGAAGTGGTACAACAACAAACAGGAAGATAACTTGATGTATATCAACGACAAGCGGTCAATACTCATTGGTATGCCACGGATGAAGCAGAACCGTGTGGGAAAAGGTGAGTACAGAGAGTTGATTTGTGTGTTAACTCCGGGCAATCAAAAAGATTACAGCAGCGGTGCTATCTGCTGAGGCAATTAGAGACCGGAGATTCTGTTCACCCAATGAGGCTTAGGACATGGAAACGTTGCATTTTTTACGATCATGTGAAATCTGCGCAAATGAGTTGTGAACGACAAAACACGTAGCCAATCAAATAATGGGAATTCTGTTTATCCAATCAGGAACCTAGGACACGGCAACGTTATACTTTACAAACCATCCAATGAGAATACCCAAATGAGCTATTTTTCTTTTTTTCTTTTTAATCCTCTTTCAGGACATTGCACCATTCCTGAGAAAGTTACGTCCATCATCACAACGTGTGTAGCAATCTATACAATGTCAAGAGAAGATAAAACAAAGGTCAACCTACCAGGGTGGGGTGCGGTCAAGTATGTTAACGTATCATCAAATGCAACCATTTTGACACCGGAAACTTGTCCCAAGCCCTGGAGGTATCACACCGCAAGCGAAATATCCTCCCTCCCCTACTGGGGCAGGAGTACCGTGTACGGTGGGGGTGGGTATATGGCTYATCTTGGCTACCAACCTGGTATTGCTCAAAGAGTTATCACAGACCTTCAGAACTCAAATTGGGTCGGGCCAAGATCGAGTGCTGTTTTGGTTGTTTTTAGCGTTTTTAATGTGAATACAGAATACGCGAGCTTCTTGAGTTTCCTTTACGAGAAACTCCCAACAGGAAATGGAATTGCGTCTTATAAAATCAGCTCAATGCCTCTTTATCCTGCAAGCGTCCTGTTTTTGACGTTTCAGCTGCTCTTTTTAGTCTTCGTACTGTTTTACCTTATTCTTCTCTTGGTGAAAATCTTCAAAAAGAAGTTATCGTTCTTCAAAGACCCATGGAACGGGGTCGAGATATTCATTATCGTCTTTAGTATCGCTACAGTGATCCTACAGCTGTTAAAGGGAATGTACACCTCAGAAATCATCCAAAAAATCAACCAGAATCCTTACGGGGACCTGAGCTTTGACTACATTGTCCTGGCAACGGATCTAGAGGACACATTAATGGCATTTCTAATGTTTTTCTCGACCATTAAGTTACTTAAGCTTGCGAAACTCGACAAAAATATCTTAGTTATTTCTTCAAGTATACGCATCTCAATACGAGACCTCGTTCCACAATCTATAATATTTATCGTCATTCTATTGGCGTACGCTCAGCTTGGCATGCTGGTATTTGGGCCCGAGTTTGAATCCTTCTCGACGTTTTACAACGCTCTCGTGGCTGAGCTTCAGATGTTTATCGGCGGCAACTCAGAGATCTGGATTCTACGACAAAACAATCGAGTTTTAGGCCCGTTGTATATCATGTCATTTATGATATTCATGGGTTGGATAATGATGAATATTTTTGTAGCAATCCTGAACGACGTGCAAACAAGCCAGAAACAAAACCTCGGAATACTAGAGCAAGAGATGCAGCTACTAGATTTTATTGCGAAGAAAGCCAAGTCACTTTTTAGGATATCGAGTGCTGAAGGACACAAATCGAGTAGAATAATGCCAGAAGTGGTGGTCGAGGAATCGCGTTCACTTAACGAGCGCGCGGCAGCTGAAACAATAAAAATAGCCCCTGAAGAGGCCACTGAAACAACAACTAATAACAACGACATTTTACAAGTCACCCCAAAGAGAAAGAATCAAAAATCAGGTTACCAAAAACTACGAAAGGAACGCTCCAAAAACACAGATCCCAGTATTCCTAGAGATTTCAGTGTAGAGAATGTCATTTGCTTGCACGAACGCATAAGGAAGATCAACGTTTTTCTGGAATCTCTTGAAATGGATGTCCAAAGCGAGGATCTGCAGATCACGAGACTTATCCTAGAACTAGAAAGTAGATGTGCAAATCATAGCTCAAGAAGCACTAGTATCACCTCGCTATCTGCAACCACAGCAAGTAGAAGACCCTCTTATAATCATCCCAGAAAAGCATCAAGTCTTTTAAGTGAGGTGACATCTTCTTCCCAGGATAATGCAGAAGATGACATCCGGTTGGTTTTCCCTCGACCAAATCCTCACGCGGATAAAAACTACCATTTTCGGCCTGTGGTACTGGGGAGAATAGCAACGGAAAGGTTTTCGAACGCTTTTTCGACGAAGGGGAATATTAAAGACAACGATAAAAAATAATTAACGAAAACTAAAATCTTTTTCTTTTTTTTGAAAGTACACTTCAATACTGTACTGTTTTTTGTAAAATAATTTTTTCAATTATCTTAAATCTGTACATATAATTTCAATGTTTTTCAAAAAATACAAGACAAGCAATTACTGATCTTTGTCATTCATGGTATCTTTAATCGACACTTCGACGATACGGCGGCCATCTTGGATCGCAAGGCATTGTGGGGTGTCCAGGGGAAAATAAAGCTCTGTTACAGTAATAACGTCGAAAAGAATGCAACGAAAAGATGAATTAGGATGGCATATCGATCACTTTTACCCATAAAAGAAAGGAAACACACGAAACTCTATATATTCTCCGTCATCTTTGTTTTGTTTCGCCCACCGACATAAGATGGACGCCGTATCGACGGAGCACGTAGTCCGCATTGCTTGATGTGTTTGCGTGCGATAGAGGTATTGGAGTCGTAATCTCATTTCTTCAAAAAGTGAGATGATGGATGATAGCTACACAAATAAATTCATAGCTACATGGCGATCTTATTGGATTATGTGTACCTTATACCATGCACGATTCATTATTTCCTTGCAAATAACTTACTCACGGCTCCTTTGTTGGATGTTGCGTACCACCTCGCGAGAAAATAGAAGAAGGAAAACTGTGAAAGAGCATAACAAAAAGAAAGAAAGAGGGAACGAAGGAAAGACATGATGGAAAAATAGAACTAAGGAAAAAAGAATGACAAGACAATAAGTAACGTCAAAAAAAGAAAAAAAAAAAAAAAAAAAAAAAAAAAAAAAAAAAAAAAAATGCAATAAAAGAAAAAAAAGCAATAAAAGATCGCGTGCAAAATAATTACTATTGACATGAAAATATTGAATATCAAAATGACACGCATAATAAAACTAAGCGAAGTGATAGCTGCACGTTATAGACTAGACAAGGGTTTATAATAATAATAATAAATTATCAATTACTTGCTGGATCATTATATATATTCTAATCGGTCATTTGTCTTAATGTTTACTGGTCGACAGGATATCAAATAGACCATTCTATTATATAATTACCAATGAAATATCTATTTCAAAAAATTGATATCTTCACACGTGAAAATAACATGTTATTTTCACGTGTGAAGATAACACCATTGCGATGGCTATTCAAAAATACACGTAAAGAGTTGCCTGAAAAAGCCAAAACATACTTCATTGATAATTATCAATGCAGTTCGCTGCGCTCACTCGTGAGAGATCTTTTCAACACTCGAAGATAAAATTCGTATCTCCGCGCGCCCATGTAATATCCTCTATATATTCGAACTAAACGAGAATGATAGCTGTACACTTTAAAGACTAGACAAGGGTTTATAGTGATTATTATTAAGTATCAATTACTTCAGTGCTGGATCATCATAAATTGTTTTTATTCGGCCATTTGTCGATAGAATGTCAAAAAGACCAGTATATTCAAACTAAACGAGAATGATAGCTGCACACTATAGACTAGACAAGAGTTTAATGATAGTTATGAATCGACTTAGTTACTAACTATTTATTAGCTATTAAGAGAAATGTTTTTCAATAATGAGCAATAATGGCAAAAAGCGCCAAAAACTAGACTTTCGTATGAGTTTTGATTCCAATTTTCGTTTTGGGTTAACGCTCAAAACCTTTTTTAAACAGTTAGAAACTGATGTACTATGATAAAATGCCTGTTTGAAGCGGGTATTTTCAATTGTACAAAGATGTTTTGATGTATTTGTGTTAGAATGTTGCTTTGTCAGGCTTTTTTATAGAAAATATATGGGAAATAAACAAATGAAGGCCTAAACATAATTTTCGAATAAAATTTTTGTTTTGGGTTAACATTTTGATTCCACTTTTATCGGTCAGTCATCTCCACTTCCAAACAAGTTAAATTTCTGAATAACAAGATTTTAGCCTTGTACAACAACCTTTCTTCATGAAAATAATTTTTGGCGCTCACTGCTTGAATACGAAAAGAATTATCTCTTAACTTATAACTATTTGGAGGAGCACTAGTTTATCAGTTATTAGTGCTGTTTCGTGTAAGCCTTCGATTGATTGATTGATCGATTATCAATCTATCTATTCCATTATACCAACTATATATGTAATCATAATAACAACCATGCTTTAAGTCAAAACGTTTGTCTGTGTGAATTACAGTTTGTACTGGCAGTGTAAGCCCAAACACTTCATGTATGCTTTATACACAAATTTCATTTAAATTGAAAATATTTAAAATTAGAATTTTCGAATAAAATTTCAAAATTGAAAAAATATAGATATAAAATCTCAATAATTAAAACTATGAAATCGATTAGGATAGCAGTGACGTTGGGAAGGAGTGTCCTCCCAACTTTATTTTCCTGATATTCACTAAATTTTCAAGTCCTGAGCCCAATTGCAACGTTTTGTCTTATGTATATTAGTCTTCTCAGTATATTTTTCAATCTAAGTTACATTTTCATTTTAAACTACTTCGATATTTTGCTTACAAAAACTCAAAGTTGCTTCTCTTCAAAACTGTTTTATCGTTCGATAGATGAGGCCATTATGGAACACGCCGTTTTATCGATATCCGAACGATTATCCATATAAACAATTCTTTAAGAAAACAAGTTTTTTCCAAAAACTGTAATAGCGTAATAAGGCGATCTCTCAGGAGCACATTGTGGGCAGATAATAGTTGTTTATTTGAGTGGATGATACTCGATTACTTTTGTCTAAAGTGGAAAACTTCGCTTGTGATCTGTGGCTTCTTAATATAAACTGGTTGAAGTTCAATTTCCTGTAGTGTTTCACACGTGTTTAAATCAATATTGCATGGCTGTAATTAGCAATATTTTCTGGGAGATATCCTTCATTTTAAATACTTTCTTTATTTATTCTCGTGTTATTTCGTCTTTTCTCGCCCGGTCTAAAGAAAAGACAAAGCAGAGCTGATAAATAAGGCGTTTCTTTAACAGAATAAAAGTATACTGTTTATGAAATAAAGAAAAGCAATGCCGTGACTAACGTAGACTGTAGTTTGAGGCTATAAATTTCAAACACATCAATTGTGCTTGTTCAAATTAGTCATCTAATTGCTTCGAGTAGCTTCGGACTCAATTATCCATCATCAGCGAAGCATTAAAGAAACGCTTCCTCTACCCACCGTTAAGTTAACTCCTTAGCAACGGCTCACCTGCTCTAAGAGTATCAATGTCTTCGCTGTTTACCGTTCAATAGAACGTAATAAAATGAGAAAAAAGAATGTTTGCCAAAGACAACTCATTTAAGCTCACCTGCTTAGAAGTGTCGAGTTATAATCTAATGCAAAGTTAAACTCAAATAAAGATAACAGAATGAGGGAGAGGTTTAGAGTGATAAATGGTAAAAAAGGGTTGCAATTGTTGTACGCTCAGATAGTTCATTCATTTATTCTCTTCTCCCTCCCGTCCTCCCGTCCAACCGTCCTCCCGTCCTCCCGTCCTCCCGTCCTCCCGTCCTCCCGTCCTTCATTCCTTCATTCCTTTTCTTACTTAAATCCTTTCTCTATTTTTCCTTCTTTCTCTCCTTTTCCGTCTCATTTTTCTTTTCTTCAAGGCCCAGCCTTGCTCAATCCTTAAGTAGATACTGATATTAATCATTCATCGCACACCAAGCTCTAAATTTGTGGCTTAAAATGATGCTTAAATTTTACAGCTGCTTTTTTTTTTTTTGGATGATTTAGAATTAGCTCTTTATATCAGTAATCTTTAAGATTGTTTGCGTGTATGTACGAATTGGTTTGTAAAACGCCTACTTAAAAGCCTCCTCCTTCTTAATGTCGTTTGACGATGACCTTCCTTCAGGAGAATCAAACACTTCCTTGTTTGGTCAGTGGTAAGATTGAGCGTGGTGAGCAAACGCGGTTCAATTTAGAGAATGGGAAGCGATCAAACCATTTTCATTATTCATTACTACTCCCAAAAATTTTCAAAAAACTATGACTCACTTTCACTTTCACTTTCTTTTTCATTATTCATTATTCTTTTTTATTTATGTATTTATTCGATATATTTTTTTCCAAGTCTGCAATTAATCATTTCTTGGGTTTAGGATGCAACTCATTCATCATTCAGGGGAATTATTAAAGCGTTGTCAATTATTCATTCGTAGAACTGCTTCTGTGCCTAATTTTATTTTGTTTCCAAAGACATGTTTCCTTGAAAAACAATTTCCGGTTGAGACGTTGGAATTCCTTAACTTCTTGTTGAAGTTTTTTTTTACCTACTCACATTTGGGATCTCAATTCGACTAGCAGACATTGCATATTAAGATTTTCTGTTTGTCGTCAGTTATTTTTGTTCCATGGAAAAAAATCATTTTCGCGAAAGAACACCTTTTCATAAGTCGGTACGCCCCGAGCTCAATTTCATATTTCAAAAATATAGGTTTTCAAGAACTTTCGCATATTGCAGTTTAACAATTAAGGAAAACGCTATTTCTATCACACAAGTCCGGCAAAACGTTTGAAGTTAAGAGGATTCTATTTTCATTTCTTTGAATCTTTGAAGCCCCCCAAGCAAAACACTTCAATTCCATTCTCACTTCGATCGTTTTGGATGCTATTGCATGGTTAAGACGTTAAGGACCGCTTTTGAGACGCTCGCGGCGTGTGCTAAAGCCCCAAGTAGTTCTTGTTTACCACTTTTAGATAATCGTTCTTTAAAATCAAATCTATACGCTTTAAGAGTCCACGCTTTCCCTTAGAAGATCTTATCGCCCGTAAACGTGTAGTAAGCATAATGTAAGTACAAAATGACCAGTGCTAGTGCGAGTCAGAAGTAAACTGATCGATCGTAGAGGCGAAAAAAAATCTTTTGTCAAGACTGACCCTTTCTTTACACTTTTCCCTTTTCAGTGGTAAATTTTAATTACACAAACAAGGAAAAACATAGTACAATTTTCTCATAAAATGAAAAATAAAATGGTTTATGCCATTTTTTTACTTTTATCAATTATTTTATTTTCAAATAGTTTAATTGTCCTTAAAAAATTCACGTTAATTTTCAAAGATGTCTAGCCAACGATTTTTTTCCGAACTTTCAGAAAAACCATTTTAATGGAGTAAGTTCAAATGAATATTTTTTTCGTATTGATACGACACGACCAGCTCTCACGAGAGCTTGGCGAGGGAATATATAATTTGTACGGTTTTTGGAACTTTGTTTTTAATGCTGATAAATATAATCTTAAATTCTAGGGAATAGATATACTCACGCTGTATGTCACAAAGCTAATTAAGAACATAAAAAGTTCGTTTTTTAGTTGACTTATTTTACCAACCCTAAATGTGATAATTTATTGAGAATTGGTTTTGGTATCACTAAGGTCAATACACAACTCACTGAAAGACGGACTTCTTAGGTTGACTGAACTACAAAGAGAGCGCAAAAGAGAGAGAAAAAGAGAGAAAAAGAGAGAAAAAGAGAGAAAAAGAGAGAAAAAGAGAGACATTTTACTGTAGTCCAAGATGAAAATACTTGAAAATAATTTCCAAATGTTTAACACCATGGCAATTATTGATCTTAACAACATGTTATTACCAATCACATCGCGCGCGCATTGACTGAATTCTTGGTAGGGAAACACTTACAGCTGCAAACCGGATCTACTTTACCTCAAACAGGTGAAACGTTCTTCTCTGAATTACTCTATACTGTATAATTTATATATATATATATATTTGATGTGCAAAGTGTATGTATAAAATAAATAATCGTACTTATATGTAGTTTAACATAGTTGTTGCTGTTTGAAGCGTGAAGCTTGTTGTTAAGGTAGCTGGACATATCATTCGTTGACAATTACATCCTGAGGTTTATACAAACCTAGAATGTTCTAAATAAAGTCCATGGGACGGTGTACCGTTTATTTCGATCGTTTGTACTGTATTTATTTTGCGCACTAGTAAAGAGGAAGTCCTATAAATGTTTAATCGTTTATGGTCTTTTTCAATGACATGTAAATCAACTTCTCGGCCAATAGATGTCAATATAATGATATGAATGAGCCGTTTAATGAAATAAAATAACTAAACTAGTTAACATGTTAAGTACTATAGCCATCACAGTAAGAAAATAGGGAATTTTAGATCGAAATCTTCTTGTCCGATTCGCAGTTTTTAGATTTGAATCGCTCGAGGAGTAGTTATCATTTTTCAGTGCCATTCATTGCCAATAAAATTCTTTGGATTCAAATTTACAAGCCTAAAAAAGAAAACCAACTGGTTGTCAGCTTTATACGGCACCTTAATGAGGCACCCTCCAGTGCCTTTCTAAGCTTGACATCGAGTGTTTCGAAGAGAAAAGTCGAATTTATAATGAATTTTTTTTATAGTCGTGGTAGTAATAATAATTATACTTTGGAGGTAATCTATCAGTTGGGAACCTTTTTTCGGTAGTTTCTTCTTTGAATTTCACGAAGGTGTGAATCCTGAATTAATAACGTGAAATATAGTTTTGAAAGCCGACGAGGATTAAGTGGGAATAACAAACGAACTCTTCAAATGAGTCTCGAGTTAATTACAATTTGAACAAGTTTATAGTTCTAGTTTTGAGGAGCTTCGCTTGTAAAACTAACTTTATGAGATTTAGCTTTAATTACTTTGTTAACCACATATCAACTCTAAAAGATGGCACAATTATTGATCGTTAAATATACTTCTCAAAAATTTGTTCAGAACTCAAGAAATTAGTTTCTTAGACGTTGAATTGAGACAAGGTTTAGCAGTTTCTGGCGATTTATTTTGGGTCAATAAATGGAAGATGAATGGATAGTGGGTGGTGTGAAGAACAAGGGCAGGTGACAGTCATCAAGTCGTCAGTTTGTAGGAGGAAAAAGGTAATTTAAGGCCAACAAAGAGCCAATCATTAGATGGTGGTTAATGGGATTACAATGACAAAATATCAAAAGAAAGATAATTGTCAAGGCACTTTGAACGCGTCTCTGATCTTGTTATAAAAGGACCGGCGTCAAGGCTGGACTTCTCAGTATACTACTGACAACAAACCAGAGTGTTTAATGATCAGGATGGAGCTGAAATTCCTAGCCGTTTTTGTWGTATTTTTGTTGTATTTTACGCTTCTTGTTCAACAAACGGAATGCACCAACTATGAACTCACACGTGACAACGAAAATRCGTTTCGACGCTCGTACCTCGAGAGACCTCCAACCAAGCCTGATCCTTTTAGAATTGGTCGCAAGAGGGTAAGTAAGTCATTATATTTATTGTATGAAAAATAGGCAGCAGGCAGCCTTGTAAAATTTGCGAATTGAATATGGAATCTTTTTCGTTCCACGTTTGGTTAAATATAGAGTTAACCGTGATTCCAGAAATCTTGTCAGTATCATATACTTTTGCGGAAAACTCTTTTTTTTTTTTTTCATTACCTTTTTCTTGGTCTAAAATATCGCCAGAATGAAGTATGGTAGTTCTGGAAATTTTAAGAATTTCCTTGGGAGAATGCCCCAAGAACTCTTCTGGATTCAGCCTTGTTGTTTATTTCAATATATTTCTCAGTTATCGATGTTTTTTTTGTAAGTTTTGCTTTCTTGCTTGAGTATACCTGCTACGTCACTTTCTAGAAACAATTTTAATCCAGAGCAAATTAAAGCCGATTTAATTTACATAGCTGGAAAGAGAATGCTTTTAAAATTAATAAAACTGTGAATTTTGAAGCCGAAGTAAGTTAAAAATATTGCAAAGTTATGAATTTTCAAAAATCGAAATTTTTACGAAATCACTTTTCGTTGGAGTCCTCTTCTAAGTATTGAACTAATTTTCTTCAAAATTCACAGTTTTACTGATTTTAACATGCTCTTTCCAGCTATGGTTAATGTTGTTCTTTTTTACTAAGTTGATAATAGTTATAAATATTGCAAGACTTTTTCCATCTAACACTCCCGGTTTTTCAAATTTGGAAACATAGAATGACGTAGCATCTATTTATACATATCCTTACTTATTTCAACATTTTTACGGAGGAGGGCATAGTTTCACTCAATTATTAATTCTTCCATTAGATCAGAATTAATTAATCTGATCTTCTTTACATTCATTATSTTTTCATATAATACTCATTAATATATTATATAAGTGCGGTATGTAATATTGCCTTCTCATTATGTACACTGCGCTTATTATATAATTACCAATGAAATATCTATTTTTCTCTATTTCGAAAAATTGATATCTTCACACGTGAAAATAACACCATTGTGATGGCTATTCAAAAATACACGGAAAGAATTGCCTGAAAAAGCCAAAACATACTTCATTGATAATTATATAATAAACAGAATATTACATGGGCGCTTGGAGATACGCGCGAACGAGTGAGAGATTTTCAACACGAGAAGATAAATTTCGTATCTCCGCGCGCCCATGTAATATCCTCTATTTATAGAATCAACTTCTAAGACTCTAAGTACGACGACCAACACCAGTAGATTAGCTCGAGAGGAACTTAAGATATATCCATACATTTCTTTGTACATAACTTCTTTACACATTATATTTTCATTAAGCTCAAAGTACTGAGTATGAAACCAGCGAATATGTTTGAATACAAAATCATCTGTTTAGTGTTGATTAGATCGATGACATCACAAACTCCGTTAAAAATATATTCGTAAAAATATAATACCACGTCCCATCGGAATATCAAAAAAAGAATAGTCCCCTAAAGACTACTTCCATTTCATCCAGTTTCACTTTTACTCCTAAATCAATGTATATCACATTCCCGTACCCAGACTCTTCTTAATTTTTGGTTAGAAAGCTGAGAATCTAAGATTTACTCCTTTTTGTTTTCATTTTTACCCTCACAGGCGTTTCAAGACATAGAGAATGTATGTGAAAAAGCAAGAGCCATTGGATGTCAGTTGTAATCCGGACAATCCCAACTCCAGCGGTTCCAAAGAAGAAGCTAAGAGGCTTATTTTCACATCAAAATTCTCTTAGGAATTCAAATCTCTTAAATAATATTGTAGTATTTTATTAGATTTGGAATAATAAATGAATGATAAATGAATATATTTAATAGTTTATTGGTTTCACTATTGTTCGTGATGCATCTTGGGAAAAGGGCTAACCAGGCATTTTTTCTTTGGGCTCGGTAGATCATCAGTTATTATTGTCAACCATGCATTGCTATAGAACTAAAAAGCCAAATAAACGAAAACCGCAATCCGTTACTGGCCTTCGCTTTCTAAAAACCGATAAAAAGTCGATCTCACGTGACTTCGTCGCTTTCTCGAACATTTTCGCTTCGCTCAAGAGAAAATGAACTAAGAGGCGGAATCCCCGCGCCCCATCATGAGCACTCTTTAATGCTATTTTAGAATCAGTGACGCTCTTGTTCAGCCTCATTCATTTTGTTTCAAGTATCTAACCTTTCACGTTCACAAAAACTTAGTCATTTTGTTACAAAAATGTGTGTATTTGAAGTAATATTTCAAAGCCGACAATGAGGACTGGACGGGATTTCAAGTCTAAGCAATTAGTTCCAGTCCGAGGCGCAGCTTAGGACTGGAACTAATTGCGCGGACTTGAAATCACGTCCAGTCCGATATTGGAGGCTTTGAAATGACTTCTCATCTCATTAATTTTGTTCCAGTTACTCCAGACTGAATGCATTCCTTTCACAGCACTTTACCAGGTTTCAAGTAACATCATGTGACCCAAAAATAGCCCATTGATTGGATGGTTTACTCATGAATTATTAAGGAGTATGAGAATATTGAATGTCAATTGAAACTCCACCCCCAGAACCAAGTAGTGTTGAATTTAGCATTTTCACTAGGTCCCCCAGGGGAAAGATTTGTTGTTAAAATTATATTGAAGTTGTTGTTGTTGTTAAAATTATCTCTATTAAAAATCACTGATATTTTATTCTCTCGAAAATTGAAATAAAAAAAAAACTAACAATTCGATCAATTATGTTGTTGACCAGTAATAACAATACCGGAAGTGATTTTCCCAGAAATGTACGTTTTTCTAAGTTTTTCGAAATCAAATAATCAAAAAATCAAATAACGGCTTTTTTTCTTTGACACTTGGTATATGACAAAACACTTTTTGACTTGGGAAAGCAGTGTGTTTTTATTTAAAATATAAAAATTTGAACA